AATTATGAGATAACTGTCTCATAATTATGAGATAGCTAAGTCATAATTATGAGATACAAGTTTTATTTTTTTTATCAGGGTGGCGGAAATGGGCTTCCATAATTCCATAAATCTACCCTACACACTGATAAACAAAAACTCTTTTTGGTTGTTCTAATACATTGTTTTTTTAATTATGTTTAAATCTTAGCATAATACATTTTGGTTAGTTTAGCACCACTGTTATGGATAATCTTAGCATTATGAGTTTTGGTTAGCTTAGCATAACAAATTTTAGTTAGAAGAGCACCATTTGCTTTGATTAGCTTAGCATCATTAGTGTTTAGCGGCGCGCGACATTCCTTCACAACACGCTGGGCCTTTAATGATGACGTTGCAGTTCCACGCGAGGCCAGCAGGGGGACACATTTCTGTCCTCCCTCCGCGCCTCCTCAGACAATAAAAACAAGGCGAAGCAGCGTCTCTGAGCCCCGCTCTTCAGTCCGAGGACGAGCAACATGGACACGCGAGCCGAGGCCTGCCGGGCGGACATGTAACCGCAACCATGCTGCTGGCCAACCGCTTCCCGCGTTTGCTGCTGCCGCTGCTGTGCGTGTGGCTGTGCTCGGTCCGGGAGGTTCGGACCAAATCTCTGCCGGATCAGTTCGGTAAGGATCGGCCCTGCAGGAAGGAGGGGATGCAGCACAATGAGATCATGGGAGTGGTTGGTTGGATGGATGGATGGATGCTTGGTTGGATGGCTGTAGTTTTATCTGCTGCTTCCTGGTTGCTTGATGTTTGGAGCAGAAAGATGTTCTGGAGGATTTTGGTTCTGGTCGTTTGGGCTCACTGATGGGTGAGAGGTTGAGGTGACAGGAGAAGGGGAGGCCCAGCTGCTCTGAGACCTGGTCCTGGACCCTGTGGTTTGATGTGGGCTCAGGTAGAACTCCTCAGACCTCCATGATGCTCCACTGAGCACAGACCAGGAGGAGCTGAGGCCTCCTCTCTGCAAGCATTTGTTTTATTTTATGTTTATTCAGTGCTTTTTTTTTTTTAAAGGCATTATGTAATCTGTGTGTTTTATTCATGCCTGAGGCGTGTTTAGCATGCATGGGTGGTCTCACAGTCTGCAGGAGCGTAACTGACACTTYATCCATCAAATACTCCAGAAAACAACACACAGTCAGCTCTGCATGACGTTTAGTTTAAAAAGGATATTTAATAAGTGAGCTGGAGTTAAGCTCTGTAAGACAACAGTCACCCTAAAAAAATGGCCTCTTTGATATTCTGTTCTGGCCCTGTTGCTAACCCAGGATTTTCTGCCCCCCTCCTCCTGCCACATTCAGTCATTGAGCAACACTGAGCCGCTTTTATTGTGAAAAACCAGAACTTCCCACCAAGTGACTCAGAATTTCTACTTCAAGAGCATTTTTCAGGTGCAGAAGCCCAGACTGAGGAAATCCTCTCCCAACAGAGCGCTTATTGTTCCAGTGAGGGTCATAGATGACAACACACACACACACACACACACACACACACACACACACACACACACACACACACACACGTTAACGTTAATGTCAGCGTGACCCGCTGCTGTCACATGAGGGAGTTCTGTCTCATCGCTCCTGCAGGAGGAGGAGGCACAACAAGGCAGCTTTTGGTGAGTCGGGACGGATCCATGGCAACAGCGTGACCCACATCAACGCCGTCCAAGAGGCCGGATGAGACAAACCTTCCAGGGCTGAAAACATGAGGATGAGACTTGTAGGGAGGGTGTTTGTCACCGACTACACAACAACAACATCATCATCATTATTATTAGAACAGTAATCTGCTCYTCTAAAGTCCAATCTGAACACATTTAAATGAAAAATACGTTCAAAATGTAACTTAAACACAAAAAATGGCCCCGAACACTTCATAGGTTCAAGTTTTTCTCAGTATTACAGTAATAAAGTTGTATGTATAGCTTGGATAGCTACTTTTAATTGTAGGTTGCTAACTACATCTCATTAGTTTTAGCTAAATTTGTGACAGCAAAGCATTTAATTTATAGACAATGTTATGTTCCGTATCATTTTATGGGCTCAGTTAATGAATAATAATCTAGTGTTAATCTGTTAGCCCAAAGCTAATGCTTTCTTATACACCAAATGTTAGCCTGCAGCTAATAGTTTGCTAAACAATAATCTGTTAGCCCTAAGCTAATGCTTTCTTATACACAACTGTTAGCCTGCAGCTAATAATTTGCTAAACAACAATCTGTTAGCCTTAAGCTAATGCTTTCTTATACACCAACTGTTAGCCTGCAGCTAATAGTTTGCTAAACAACAATCTGTTAGCCCTAAGCTAATGTTTTCTTATACACCAACTGTTAGCCTGCAGCTAATAGTTTGCTAAACAACAATCTGTTAGCCCTAAGCTAATGTTTTCTTATACAC